GGGATACTGGAAAACTATTGACAATCATAGCTGTCCACAGCTATGATTACCAGGTCCCACCCATGGCAAAAAATTCTAGTGTGCATAATGGCTATACAAATAAATTGTCACTGGAGTGAGCCCAAGCCCAGGACCAGTGGAGACCAGGCAAGTGATCACATTCCCATGGACGGCAGCTAACACATCCACGATACATAGTGTGCAGCTGTATGCAGTGCCATATGCACGCAAAGAAGCAATCAAGAAATGGCAGCCATGTGACAGCCAGGACAGCAGAAATGCTTGGCAGTTGAATGGTAAGGTGTGGGCTTCCAGTCATCCAGGGGGTTTCCAAGAAGTACGCACCCATGCTGCTCTGGATAAAGTCCTTCTAGAAGCCAGCACACAGACACACTGATTGCTTCTGAACTCTGCTTATCTTAAATGTCATCTTGCTAGCTGGCACTCTCACACCCAAGCTCAGACCCATAATGTCAGGCCATCATTAGTCCATCACTACCTTAACATAGAAACCAAGCAGTGGCTGGCCTTGGGATCATCACTCAGCCCCAAGATCCTTGATTGACAAGCTGTTGCACCATATCAAGTGGGTGCTGTCTTTAATTCCACTTTACGAGCCCTGAACACCAAAGGGCAGTTTGTTCATAGACAAAGCCAAACGAGCACACGGATATTTAAGAGACCAGAGAGGCTGATTTGGTCGATTTCTAAGCTGCGGGTGGTAAAACTACATGTCCAGCTGTGCCATTAAAACTTAAATACAGACTCCGGAAGCTTTTGGGAACCACAGCTTATCGTGTCAAGGGAAGGACAGCTACAGGGCAGGCAGGGGAAGTGATGCAAGTAAACCTGGCAATGTGGACATAATGAATGACAGACAGACAGACAGACAGACACACTTACACTCTAAAAGGCAGACAGGGAAGCCATGGAGAAACCATACATGAATGTTAATCTGGACTCTCTACTTGATGAGATTTAGGATCACCATGGAGACAACCCTCTGAGGCACTTTCTAGATGGGGACAATTAAAGTGGGAAGAGCTGCCATGGAAATGAGTGACTGGGCTGGGGTCTCAGACTCAAGCAAAAGGAACTGAACACCAGCATTCATCTTCCTCTGTTTCTTGGCTATGCACACAGTATGACCAGCGGCCTCACTGACAAGGTCTCTGCTGCCATGTCTACCCAGCCAGGATGGATTGCACCTTCGAATCATGTGCCAGAACAGGCCCTTCCTCCATGAAGTCACTTTTCTCACATCAACAAGAAAAAAAAAAAAAATTGACTACACCATATTAAGTACTCTCCGCATAGTTTCTACAGGAATACTGTTTTCGTCCTTGTAAGATTTTGTACTTGAAGAAACTCACAGCAGGCTGGTGGACTGCATCCTCTCTAGCCACACAGAGTTCAGTGGTGAAGAAAGAGGAGCAGCAAGCCTGGGCCGAGCAGATGTCAGCCAGGTAAAGAGCACAGCTTTATGGGAAGCCTGTGGTCCAAGGAGCGAAAAGTGTCATCAGCATCCTCTTGGGCAGATGGGAGCACAGTTCAGGTAAGGAGGGAAGGTACAGCACAACTTAGAACCTGGCTCTGGGTGGTTGGCCTGGATTTAAATACCAGCTCTACTACTACGTTTTGTGTGATTATAACTTGCTTCAGTTTCCCCAAGTATGAATCCCAGGGGCTTTCAAGAGTATGAGGATACAGTGGCATGCCACAGTCCCACATGGTCCCAGCACCTATGTGTAGCTTACTCTTTAGCCCAGAACAAGTGTATTAGTCAGGACTCTCTAAAGGGAGCAGAACAGAGAGAATGAGCTGATATATAGTATGCATGTAATGGCTACATAGGGTAGTTGCTCAGTCCACAAGACTGTGTATCTCAGAAGACCCAATCTTTTGATGGAGTCCCAGAGAGGTTCCAGAGAGTTGTCAGTTTAGAATCTGCCTTGTAATTCCAAAGAAGTAGCAAAGGAATGGCTCTGGAATAAGATAGATGAATTTGCCAATGAAAGTGAGGGTAGCAGGCAAAAACAAAAACAAAAACAAAAACAAAAACAAAACAAAAGCTTCCCTCTTCCATGTGGTCTTCTAAGACTTTAGGGTGGGTCTTATGACCTTAAATGATCAGATTTAGGGTGGGTTTCCACCTCAAATAATCCAACTAGCAAAAATCCATGACAAATGGGCCCAGTTGCTTGGATTTAGGTGTGTCCACAACCCATATACAGAAAGCAGCAAGAGAAAATAGGCACGTTGTCAAAAGTGAAAAACTCTGTATAGTAAATACTACATACAAGGAAGGAAGGGCCACCAAACCAGCTGTCTCCAAAGGGCTGTAAGTATCTGGTCCTCTAATCTGATGGAGGCAAGAGGTTTCTGTTACATTTTCTCTTTGAACTTTTGATCCTCCTGCCTCCACCTCCCAAGTGCTGGGATTACAGGCACATTCTCCCACACCCGGTTTCATGAAGCAGTGCTGGGGGCTTGGGGCTGGGGATCAAGCCTGGAGTGCTTAGTGTATGGTGGGTGAGCACGCTCACAGCTGAGCTACATCCACAGCCTGGTAAGAGGCTCCCTTATACAACCTGACTCTGCTTCTGCACATCAATGCTGTATATTCTAGAATTTACACCCCATGGGGTATGGGAATAACTTTCACAATCATCAGTGCCCATATGTGAAGTGCATCAAAAATGGGTTGCTCTTCCATTGGTCACCTTGGCTTGGAATTTGTCCCTGTGCAAAATGTTAACTGTGGCTTTGGTGTGACTTTGCTGTGACTTTTTAGAGATTAGAGTCTCTTCAAACACAAGAGCCTTCATATGGATCCAAGTCAGGCACACACAGATTAGGACACACACATGTACACATGCACACATGCACACATGCACACATGCACCCACTTGCATATCTGCAGGAAGCTCCAATGGAGGAAGCATGGCCAGGTGGACCTGGTGACTCAGAGTATTTCATTTTGTGACTAGACAGTCTGGTGCAGTACTCTGAATATGATGGCTCACAGGCTGTGCAGAGTGGACATTCATCCTGGCCCATGATTGCCTCAACACTTCAGCCTTTGTGCACAGTGGATCAGAGGCCAGGGTGGATGTCATTCTCTATTCTTGGTGTCGCCTATCTTATCCTCAGAGGTCTCAAGGGCACTAGTGGCTCACTGACAGAAGCATGCAGTGACTTCTTCCTCTCAGGTCATTTTCCTCAAAACAAAAGCCTGTGTTTAAAAGATACAGTGAACACTCATTGCTGCCACCCACAGCAGCTCATCACCTGGCTGGGCCAGCAAGAAGTCTCCAGTGAGCAGGAAAAGGCTGACACTGCTTAGTCAGTCCACAACTCTGGGGACCACGAATCACACACTTCCTCACCGCACAAAAAACAACATGGCCCCAAACAGTCTTGGTGTCTTGCTGTGTGGATGGAGCCAGGGGTCACAATGATTCCTTTAGCTCTGGGGAAGCTGATGCTTCCTCCAGGTCAGGATGGGAGGGAGGAGGTATTGGATGGTGTAGCAGGAAGAGAGAGTAATTCAAGGATGACTCGAAAACTATAAACAACCCATAGATTGTAGGGGAAGCTGTAGCCAGCCCCTACCCTACAATAGATAATAAATGCACCAAAAAAAAAAAAGGTATATTTTATCCTCTACCCAACACACTAGTGAACCTGAAAGGGCACCCTTGAATACAACTACAGGGAGCCAATCACATCTGAGTTTTGCTAAAGAAGTTACCACCAAGGATATGGAATGCACAACCTAGGCACTGACTGGAAAATGGCTGCCCTTCTGGGGAGGCCAGAAGCCAAGTTCACCCATGGGTTCATGGCAAGCAGTCCATGACTGCTACCTCCCCAACCTGTGTTCAGGGATCTAGTTTAGGTAATGCTGCCTCGCCATCCCTAAGTCTTGGCCCACAGTACAATGCTTCTACAGGGGTCTAAGACAGTGGGGGTTTGTTTCAGATATCGATATTGATTTGTTTGTTCGGCTGAATGAAAACGAGACCCATTAAAAACATTGTGTAGTGCTCTAGAAGAATTTGGGATTTCCAATCACAAAAATAAATCCTAAAGGCAAAAAAAAAAAAAAAAAAAAAGTATGCTGCTGGGTTCAGTTTCTACAGTAGGATGGGAGTGTTGAGAAATAGGCAGAGGGCTGAAGTGACATGGCAAGTAGAAGGATGGAAGGAAAGGCCAAGACTCCTGCTCCACAACCAGTCAGGGATGGCTGCAGCAGCCCCAGCCTGCTGGTCATGGCCCCTCCTCCATCCTGCCCACCAGGAAAGATCTTGGCCACAGTAGTATCTGACTTGAGAAGTGCAACATTTCCTCAGCAGAACCTGGTTAGAGGTCTGCTGGGAATCTAGCCACATGAAGAGCTCAAGGTGGACACTGTCCCTGCTGTCACAGGGGGAACAGAACCCAGGAAAGTTCCAGGGAAAGCCCTGTTGTCATGGCTTTCTCCACAGGGTGGATAAAAAAGACAAAGGCAGGCAGGTGTGGTAATCTAAACTTGTTCTCCTGGTGCTTGGGAGCTGGGGGCAGGAGGATCAGGAGTGCAAAGCTACATTTAACTACATTGTGAGCTTGAGGGCAGCCTGCACTATGTGGGACCCCATGAAAACAAGACAAAAACAAAGAAAAAGTCAAATCCATGGCGGAAACTATAAGCTTACACCACAAGGAGAAGCATGGACCTATCAGATGGGCTAAAACACACCCAAGCCTCTCATCTTCTCATTTAGAACCAAATTGACCTCTACCCACCAACAACCTTAAATCCAGGGAGGACCACGGCCTGACCTAGTGACTGAGCCCCACGCAGGCATAAGGACACTCCTATGATCTCCATGTCTACATTGCCATAGAGCCGCGGGCTCCATAGAAGAGGTAGAGCACATAAGCACAGACATCTCAGTAGCCAGCCGCACCACGGTTGCCACCAGATATGACAGAGGCAGGATGCCTGCTGAACTTACTTGTTCTGCATGGTGTTCATTATCACCCAGTCAAAGGGGTAGACGTTCTTCCCAATGAGGTTCTTAAACATGATGAATGTCTCCATCAGAAAATCCTGCAATGAGACAACATGGCAGTGAGGCAGCCCACCCAGGAGGAGGGTGAACACTCTTCCCAATGATGAGATTATAAAAGACCCCATTATTTTTAGCTGAAGGAAAACATTCTAGAAGCAAATGAAGATGTATTTCACAGGCTCTGTGTACCGCTTCTGTTTTCTGTTTACCTGGGCACCTCCTGCTTGAGATAGCTTTTTCGAGGATAGATGTTGAAATAGTCCCTGGGCATGTCTTGCTGGCAGTTAAGAAAAGATCCCCAAGGGTTATAAATATACATTTGTGCCTTTTCTGCTTACAGGAAAATGTGGATTTTACAAACCTATCAGGCAGGATGCAGCATTCCCTCATGTTTCTCCTAAATCCATTTTTCACTATCAACAACCCCAGAGATTGGTATATTGTGATCCCTGCCCTTTGGCTTTGTAATTTAAAGCTTGCCTTGACCCTCTGCACACATTCAGCATGCAGCTGACCACATGAGTAAGAAGACTTTTTGCCCAACAGCTCCATAGTTCACCACTCAGGGATGCCGCTGGAATCTCATGGTCTTTGTGTGATACTCCAAGATCAACATAGGGCAACAGGATTCAAGGGTTCCCTGCTGCTCTGTGTCAATCACACATCCACAAAGAAGCCCCTGGTCACAGCAAACAGGAAAGTGTGTACCAGTTCTCCCATGCTGGCTGAAATTAAGAAGTCTTATTTGTGAGGGCAAGTTTAGTATTGTTCTGTGCTATTATCCTGAATCTCGACACAGTTTCCTGGGAATTCCTCCTGTGTGCTCAGGACCCTGGGTAAGAGGGAGACAGACAATAGGGAGTTAGTTTAGAAAAGGAATGCCATAGGTAGAGTTGGCCAAATGAATGGACCTTTCTCATTGTTTAACTTATTGGATCATAACGAAGAGTTGGCTATGAAGGCCAAGGGGTTTGGGAGAATGGAATTTAAACAGCCAACAAAGCAATCCCCCAAGTGAGAAATTCTCAATCCACACCACTTGCAAAGAAACACAGTTTGAACTTGATGATAACCATCAGGTGATGGGCAAGGTTCACATTCATTGGGGACCTGCTCTAGTTTCATTTTGTTGCCGTGAGGAAACACTCTGACCAAAGGAGATTTAGAGGAGGAATAGGTTTATTTCAGTACAACTTAATTACTCTAGAACTTAGCTTACCATTTTGTCAAGAGATTGGAAGTTTGGATGGCCACAGTGTATACTTTGTGAGCTACATCTCTGCTCCTGTAGAATTGCTGGCTTACCTTACCTGCCCATCCTCTCCTGAGCCTGATAATTAAGATGCAGGGATGGGTTTACACTCTTAAGAAAGAAGCCATCTTTCCCAGTGCCTTTTCTTTCCTTTCTATGTATCATAGGCCAGAACTTAATTAGTAGCTTAGTTGATATATGATGGAATTTGGCTAGCGAAACAAAACAGAGTCCAAAGTGGGAGATGGCCTCTTGCAAGGCTTACTTGTAAAAGCTGCCTAACTCAGTAGGTCCAAAGGACCAACTGATCCAGCTTCGCTGATGAGGCTTCACAAACTGCTCTGGCAAAGCCTCGGGTTCAGGAACAATGAAAGAAAACTTCATTACTACATTCATTTCTTTGGCATTTGACTATTCACAGGGGGCCCAAGACAGCAAGTGGTCAGCTCTGAAAAAATCCACAGGTATGTTCTGGAGGCAAACAACTGCTTCTCTCTATCTTTAACCCTATTAATTTGATGAAAGAGTCACTCTCAGCTGGAGGGCTCACCCAATAAGATCAGGTACTGCTCTCACAGAGGATCCAAATTCAGTTCCCAGGTACTATGTTGGGCAGCTCACAATTGCCTGTAACTCCAGTTCCAGGAGATTCAATGCCCTCTTATGGCCTTTGTAGGCATTATTCTCACTTGTTCTTTCTAAGACACACACACACACACAGACACACACACACACAGAGTCACAGATGGAAGAATGAGAGCAAGGCAAAAAACAAGAGCACAGAGGCACAACAAAGCTCAGTGAGTTGGTTCATGTCTATATTCCCAGCACTCAGCAGACTGAGCTGAGAGAACTGCAGTAAGTTTAAGGCTATAAGCAAACTGGACAGAGAAATCTGGATTGGACGCTGACCCTAGAGGGGGCCTCTAAGAAAGGAGGGGTGAGCCCGGTGAGAGAGGGTGGTTGTCCCTGCCTACAGCACGATGGGGGAACCATTGTGCAGGTACTTGCCCAGCCACTTTAGCAACAAGCATGCTTATAGCAATGGCATTCTCTTTCTTAGGAGACTTGGAACACACACACACACACACACACACACACACACACACACTCACAGAGAGAGAGAGAGAGAGAGAGAGAGAGAGAGAGAGAGAGAGGATCCAAGTGGAAGTGCTTGTCACCAACAGCTCAGACACCAATCACTGTTTTGCCAGCTTCTGTTTGTGTGAAGCTCTTTGTGATACATCATTAGAGGAAAGAATACAAGTCACAGGAAAGAGATTTGGATAAGGTGAGTGGACTGCACGGATGTCAAATCCTGGTTTTGATGTTATACAATAGTTTTTCAAGACATTCCTGTCAGGAGGAACCAAATAAAGGGCATACAGAATTCATTATATCCAACAGCTGTGTGCGACTCCATAATGACCTCAGAATAAAGTTCACTCAAAATATAATTGCTCTGAAAACAAATAGGCAACAAAGGACAGAAGGTTGCTAGCATAGGACAGAGGTGGTCCTGGCTGATGTGATAGCCCAGTGTCCCTTGGGTATCTCCCACAGGAAACTCCTGCCCAACATAGGATCAGAAACTCCTCCTTCTCATACAATCCCTTTGCCCTACCATCATCCACTCTGCCCAGAGAAGATGTCTCACCACTGACTTAGACCTGTCTGTTTGTTTTGCAGAGCTCAGATGATATTGGCTCACTGGAAACACTATGGGGCACTGAGTTTGTCCTGCCTGCTATGTCCTTCCATGATACTGACAAATGGTAACTGGGGAAGGAATCTGCACCCCTGGATTGATAGTCCAGTGTGGAGAGCTTTCCTAAGGCTGCATTTACAAAGAAATGGTCCAGGAATAGAGCAGCAGGTGTGTGGCGCCTGCATCCTCTTTCCACCTAGGACAAACACTCAAGGACAATAGGCAACACTTCTGCTGATGGGTTCACATGGACAGCAGCACCTTTGAGACCTTGAGGGTCTCAACTGCAGAAGGTGTCTGGAGCAGGGCCATTCACACTGCTGGGATTTCTGCTTCCCCTCATACCCACCAGCATTCCTCCTCACCACATCCTACATCCGATACTCCACCCGTTCCAATCCGGAACAAGCTGCTGGTCAAAGGGGACAAGGTTAGGTGCTAGGAAGAAGATGGGCCTATATCCACCTATGGAGATCTGGACAGGTGTCAGAAAGGGGCTCCCAGAAGGTGAACACTGAAGCAGCAAGAAGTTGGGAAAGGATTCCAGCAAGAAGGTCTGGAATACGTGGCAGTTCAGAGGCTTGCCTGACAGCAGAACAAGCCAGGAGGACTCCATAAGGAACCCAAGAACCAGGTAACAGGTAAGAGGGCCTGCAGTACCCAGAGTCAGTGTGCACCGTTCTCTCTCCTAACCTTTAACACACTCCTCCCCTCGGCATTGCTTCCACCTGCTCTGTCCAGGTATACCTCCCTTTTCATCCAATACACACTTACTAAACTCTACTGTGGTGTAATGGCACAAGGCTCCTAGGAACTGAGGATCAAATCACCCCCCCACCCCCCCACCAAGTATCACTGAGTGTCATCACACGTGCTATACACATAATGAGTCCTACACATGAGTTTATCTTAAGGAGGTGTCAGGGTGGGGCTGGTCACCGGGAAGACTTGAGAATAAGAGCTCTGGAACTTCTAATCCTACATACTCCAACTGGGGATAGATTATGCCAAAAGAACTCACAGACAAGACTGGAGGAGACCGGGCTGCTGACAGGCTTCTGGAGAGGATGAAGCCTGCTGACTCTGTCCTGTGCACCCCTGCCCTCTCTGTCCTGTGCAGCTCTTCCCATTGGTTTCTGTAGAGTTGCATGCTTTGGAGTAAACAGGATAGAATATGCAAGTGTCTCCTGGAGTGCTGTGAGCTAGCTGGGCAAATTATGGACCCCAAGGCCAGGGTTAAGGAACTCTTATTAACAGTTGCTTCGTTAAAAGCATAGAGCCTGGATTCACAGCTGGATCTGGGTGAGCCCTGTCATCTGTGGGATTCATAGCTTCATCCAGGTTGACAGTGCAGGGATGGAATTGAACTGCAGGACATCCAGCAGGTGTCAGAGAACTGGCTGGTGTGGGTCAGAGTGTAGAGAAAAGAATAGGTTCTTCCAGAGCCACCCACAGTGGAAGTCTGTGACACATGGCTAAAAGAGTCTCCAGAGGCTCTGGGCAAGCTCTCTGCTTCTATTCCTGATGCTGAGACTTAGACTCAGGGTAGCACCCATCACTGGTCATCAGCAAGACAATTTTACTGAAGCTCTGTCTTGAAGACGCAGCTTGCCTGTCCTGTGAGAGATACTTGCATGGCACCTGTCTGGTCTTCCCTTTCCTAAACCAGTCTTCCCACCTGTGCTGAGATTCTCAGGCTCCCCTGGGACAGAGGACAGCTACAGCCCTGTGGAAATGTTAGGGTGATGATAATTGTGAATCTATGTGAGACTGATTTCACCCAGTGTCAGCGTGGAGTTGGAGGTGGGGAGCCTATATCTGAGAACCTGGAGCTATGCTTGTTAGAAGCAAGCAAGACTTGGGAAAATTGTTTAGGCCATTTTCATATTGGAATACTAATTAACTTCCAATTATTTCACAGGAAATGATCTTTTCATTTTTGTGATAATTGGGAGAGTAGAAAAATAAAACATTCTCCGCATACAGTTAGTAGATGGGAACATATTTTCATGAAGGTTTTGATGAACTAACAACAATCAAAAACCTTGCCCTGGGAATTTGAGATAGACAAATAGCAAATGCCATTTTATAATGGAAATCAAATTGTATGCAAATAATTGATTTTCTGGATGCCTGTGTCTAAGAGAAAAAAAAATCCCTTGGGAAATTAGGCCCACTACATAGAAACTATAACTTGATCATCCATTGTGAGGAAGGAGAGGAGGGTACATAGCCAATCCGGCAAGGCACAGTCATCCTGTGGTGTTTTGAACAAGAAATGTCCCCTATAGTCTTAGGCATTTGAACACTAGGTCTCCAGCTGGCAGCACTGTTTGGGGAGGTTCACGTGGTTCAGCCTCGATAGAGGAAGTGTGTCGCTGGGGACAGGTTTTCAGATTATGTACGAAGCACTCTCTGCCTCACATTTGCTGTCAAAGATGCGATTTCTCCGCTTCTTGCTCCTGTCGCCATATACCTGCCACTTGCTGCCATGCCTCCCTGCCACCATCATGGAGTCATTCTTCTGGAACTATAAACCGGAATAAAGTCTCCCTTCCCTAAGTTGACTTTGTTCATGGGGCTTTAAATCAGCAACAGAAAAGCAACTGAGACACATCCTTAGAAGCCAGCTATATAATTGTGTTTCAGCCCACATTTTGGCTAAATTCAGAATAGACATTTTTAATGCCACATGTGGATTTTGCGCACACACCTGCTCTAATAATGTACAGATTATTAATGGCAATACTCATTTCTCAGTATGAGGAGCTGCTCTCATCCTGAAAACTTTATCACTCATCATCTCAGACTATCATCTGTGAAGTCACACAATACCATATATACTATTATTTTCACTGACCAAAGCAGGCCATAGAGGCACATTTAAGATTTAATGATAAAATTAAATACTAAGAATATAAAATTTTACTATGCTATGATTTCAAATTAATCTTAGGATATTATGTGGTATTTATTGCATATTTGAATATGTCCCTACAATAAACCTTTCCTTGAAAGTGAAAGAAAAACTAAAACACATAGACATGAAAGAATGCATATATTTTTATACCCTTTTATTTAAGGAACACTTATGATTTTGAGGTATAGATTTATTTTCTCCTTGGTGATTGTCTGTCTGTCTATATTTATCTACCCATCACATATCTATTAATAAATCCCCTATCATTATATCTATTACCTATCAATCAATTTAGCTAGCTATCAATATATACATCAGCTTGTTTCCCTCCCTTAGTAAGGTAGAGGCCAAGTGCAGTAAGCCTTGCTCTGGAAATACTATGCAAGGTAGATGTGCCCCTCAGGAATTTATGGTTATTCCACAGGACTACTAAGTCTTTAGAAGTGGAATCAAAGAATCCGCATCAGCTTCTCACCAGGAACCCTGCCAGCAGGTTGGGTGCAGCTTTGCAAAGGATATTCACCATATGGCAGTGTAATTTCAGGCCATTAGGGAGGTAGCTCCTAAGCAATAAATTTCCCTATTACACTCTCACAATTAAGTTGCATCATAGTTTCCATGAGGAGGACTAAGGAGTTATTAGGAGAAATGCTGATGAGTGTCTATGATGAGCACTAATTAATAGCAAAGAATAGCTTAAGGTGCAGGAGGGTGGCTAACTAGCTATCACTATAGAAAGTCAATCAAGAAATGACAGGGGCTAATGACTACAAGGGACATGATTGTTAGTGACCCAGTAGCACAGGAGAGGATGCTGTGACCAGAACAGATGGGATTTCTCCAGGTTCAGATCCAAGTTGTTCTCTAGAAAAAGTCCTAGTCAAAAGTTTCCATGTGGAGACTAAAGTGGCTTTAGATAGCAAGCAGAGAAGTTCCATGAAAAATTCTATTATAAATGGAAACACAAATGTCACCCTCCACTTCCACCACTGGTCCTGTGACAGAAACATCACTTACCACGACATCTGTCCTCATTTTCCCAAAGGTCTTGATCAGGTGGGCGTAATGGTAGTCTTCCATCTGCCGTAAAATAGCTGTCATGCAAGCCACAAAGTTACCCTGCAGGTGGATTGGAAGGTAGAATTAGATAGGGAAAGAACAATCCTCATGGGAAGCACTGACATCAACTATGGAGCTGGCTCTTTGACCATTAGGGGAAAGCATGGGATCTGGGCAGAGGCCCTAGATCTGCTACATAATGCTTAAGGCCAACCAGAGACAGCCTGGGTCACTTCCTATCTCAGAAGTTTGTTTTAAAGAGGTACAATGGACTTTTCCCCTTTCTAACTGTATTAAATGACTAAACGCATCTTGACAAAAGGTGGTCCAGGCTGGAAAAAAATAAACTTTAAATGTGCTTCCCTTAATTTAGTTCACAAAAAATTAAATACAAAATTGAAATCCCAGTCAATTATGTAGCATTCTTGGAAATCCGCTGCCTGTTATTAGACAGATGCATGCATAGCCCCTCTTCTTGGGTCAGGGCAAAAAAAGGCATTTTATTTCTCAAACACTGACTGTATCTTCCTTGGCTAATTCAGAGGCAATCACTAAGGGGCAACCCTACTGTTATTTCTGCCCCTAGGGAAAAGTCAGAGGAAAAAGGCAGTCTCATTGGAATGCCCAGTGGGAGGGATGGGAATTCTTCATAACACACAGAGCTGGATAGAAAGGAAAAAGAAGGAAGAAAACAGAAACCAAACAAAAGCAGATGTGTAGAGAATAAAGGACCAAAGAACCTGGCCAAGGAGTCCAGTCACTGTGCAGCTGTGGGTGTGTGTACACACCTGCGTGTAACTTGAAAGGTGCATGCTTTGGGGAGAGACTCCAAGGCTGAGCAGTCTTGCTGACATAAACATAGTTAGTTCCTCACTTGCAGGCTGAGGAGCTGATATCACAGAGCCTTTCTTGCTTTTAAACATGTGCCTGTAAGTTAATGACATCTAAAGCCACACAGGACATATACTAACTTCCACTAAATTGTATGAGTCTGGTAGAATAATAAGGAGGATAGAGTTTGAGACATTCCTAATTTTTTCTTTAGTAAATGAGGTCCCAAATTGCATTCTTTTCACTAATTCCACTTTTTCCAACAATATATTTGAATGCCTAAATGTCTTTTATATTAATTTGGAATATGAACTCCATAGTGCATGTTAGAGTCCAATACATTTTCTATCTCTAGTATACACAGAGGCTTCCAAATGAGTCCTCAAAGGACACATTTTACAAATTGAACAAATACAATAATGATGATATGGTATCTTCCATTTGCCCAGAAATGTAAACTATTTGTGAATAATGGTAATTGCTGAGATTTAGATTCCAAGTTGGTGGTGTTCTGGGAAAGAGCTAAATAATGCTCCTTTTGCATCAGAAGGGTACTTATTTGTGAATGGGAACTTTTGAAAGACACAAATATCTGGCACCCCGGTGGGCTCAAAAGAAGCTGCCTGTGCACCTCACCTTCTCTTTAGGAGAGATGCCATTCCTAGAGTGCTCATCACTGTCAGCTTGCTCACTAGCCATGCTTCCACTCAATCACGGATAGACTTACTGTCTGTTCCATTTCTTAGGAAGTTAAACTGAGATTCAGAGACCATACCTTCAGAGGAGTAGGTGGGAAAGCCAGGTGTGAAGCTAGCCCAACAGGACTGGAGTGTGAGCCCTTGGTTGCTGACAACCATCATGAGTTAAAGATTCACCGTGTCCCATTCTTATAGTTATCAGAGAGGGTTAGTAAAGGAGAAAGAAGTCCCTATAATACTATGCCTCAAATTCTACTCTGATGCAGCTGTCTGGAACCCACTATCTACCCTGTGGGAAGAAGGGCTTTCTAGAAAGCACCCACACAGGTGCACTTAGCACATGCTTAAATGAATGGTGCCAGTCAAGACAGTTCAGCAATGAGTCTGACACTTAATAATCACCAAAGCCATTGAGTCAGTGCTTTAGAACCAGAAGGGTGACATCCACATGCCTAATATGAAATACCAAACTGCAGGAAGACAGAAAAGAAAGGCTACCGATGGGGGCTTGAGAAAGTCCAGGGCTCTGTTCCCTAAGAAGAACCAGCATACCTGGGTCAGGCCAGAGGTTAGAAGAGGTGACACAGACTCATTCATTAAAGAATAGATTTACAGGTAGTGTTGAAAGTCCGCACTAAGCAAAGAAAATGGTGGGGGAGGGCCCTCCAAAGTGAGAAGACAGTGGTGTCCACAAAGCAAGTCCTGGGAAGAGGTAAATGGCCAGTCTGGAGTCTTTCATCTGGATGAGAACATCTTGAAGAATGCAGCCAAACAGCCCCTTATTTAATGACACTGGGGCTAATTAAAGCAGGCCCTGCAAGGACAGAAAGAGAGCTACCCCCAGGAGTTAGCAGAGTACTGCCTGGCAGCCTGCGTGCCCCCTTTACTTAACCTAAGGAAATGGGCCAAAAGCAATTTGTATCATTCAGCCACTCCTCTCTTAGAGGAAGCAAGTTTTGCTAGCTCAGCGCAATTGTAAGTTTGAACATGGGATTCTACTAGCTGAGGAGAAACATATAAGCTACAATTCTCAGACACACCCCCTTTTCCATTTGCAAATATGGGGCAAGGTGTCGGTAGACACCATAACCACGCTTCCTAAGGGCTGGCTACAGGTGTGCCTGACCACGCCTGTCAGGGTGTGGCAGGGTGAGGTCAGGATGACTCATAATAGGTTTTTAAGGGGCTACAAGGCACATGGGAGCCCTTCTCTCTGGCCTGTCTGCCTTCCTGCCCCTGGCACGCTCTGGCTTGTGTTTGACTGGTGGTTATCTGAATAAAGATATCTTAACCTTACGGACTACAGATTGGCCCTTTATAGGCAAGGTTTTTGTTTTTGTTTTTTATGTTTTTGTTTTTTAGTTTTTCAAGACAGGGTTTCTCTGTAGCTTTGGATCCTGTCCTGGAACTCGATTTGTAGATCAGGCTGGCCTTGACCTCACAGAGATCCTCCTGTCTCTGCCTTCCGAGTGCTGGGATTAAAGGCATTAGCCACCTCCGCCCTGCTATGGCACAAGTATTGCTCGTACCCAAGAGCTTCATGTCTCACCTGAATCCAGTACATGCATTTGTCTAGAAGAATAGATAAAGTGGTTTTTTTGAACATGGCATTTGAAATCAGTTGTATACTAGGAACAAAACTAGAAAGAACTGTAAACAAAGGACTTCTGATTCTATAAGCTCTAAAGAAAATTACAATACTTTTTGGCCTATTTTAAATGCATTTTAGGAGTCATCTGAGGCTTTTATTTTTAAACAGTGTGGTAGGCTGGTAAGCAATTGTACAGAGCTGGTCCTTGCAACTTGAATTTGGGGATTGGGCTGGAGCTCTATCCATGGACTAAAAATAATTAACAAAATAAAAATAAGAGATATTTCTATGATTGCAAAGTAAGGGCAGAGAAGTCAACTGTACTTAAAAACCAGTACACTGACTGCCTCATAAACAAAAAATGTGAACCTCATTAGTAATCAAGACAAAAATGGTACATCGTTATTCGCTGGCAGAACAGCAATGCAGGATTTAAGTGTTGATCGTGAAGGTACAGAGAATGAGGGCCCTTACACACGGCTGGTGCCAGCGTAAATTGCTATAACCTTTTTAAAAAGCAATTTGGCAAGAGGTTTGAAAAGTCTTGGAAAGAAAATACTCATCCCCTGGGGTAATTCTCCTTCTAACAACCCACCTGAAAAGGTAATGCAGGAGAGGAAATTTGGGGTCGTTAACAGTGTCCATTGCATCTCTGAAGAGTATCTAAGCACCCAAAGCAAGAGCTTGTGTAAGTCATATATTTTGTAGGGTTGAAAGATAAAATGCAGGATGCCACTTCCATTTGAATCTCAGGTAAATAACAAGACCAAATTCTCCAAGCATTGCCTTTGGAATATCACATGGGCCTTGGGGAGGCCAGGAAAAACCCTGTTTACCCACAGTCCCTATTAACAGACTGTCTGGTCTGTATCTGTTAATTCAAGCAGTCCTATCACAGTGTTACTCTGGAATATTGCACAATCCCTGGATATTAACCACAGAACTATAAAATACTTTAGTAACACAAGAAATGATGGTTGAGGAACAAAAACAGATTTTATGTGCATAATTCCACAGTATTAGGAACCTATAGGTTAAGATAAAAGAGAAAAATACCTAGAAGAAAAAGACTCTAGGCTGTTGTCAGGGAGGGAGGGCGAGCACATGTTGTATTTATAAGCAGCATGTATTAGGGACTTTAAAGGGTGGTCTTGAAGGACAGAGATGTCACCCGTGAGGAAGGAAAGATGTCACCTGAGAGGAGGGACCAGCTTTCCCTGCCCGAGTCCTTTATTCCTACTCATATCCTCACATTTATCAAGGGTCTCCTACCTGGGAAGACACAGCAACTGCATTACACCACTTCTTGACCCCAGAGCAATCAGCACCTCCTCCACTTACACTGTACAACTCCCTCTAAAAACTAGCTTCAGTGACCAGTTTTAAATCCTTTTGTTTCTGTCCTCATAGTATTGGCAAGGTGGATGGTGTATGGAGTGGTCAGGCACACAGGCAGAATGGAGAGGCAGGCACAGGAGGACCAGAGGCCAGGAGAGCCTGAGGGCAGGTCAAACCAAAGACAAGGACTAAAGATGGGTAGACAGACAGAACAAAAACAGGTAGACAGGGGTCCTGGTAGAGGATAATACAAACAGTGGTGGGGGAAGCAGGGGAGACAGACAGACAGACAGACAGATCAGACAGACAGAGAGAAAAGACAGACACAGGGTGGGGGTGGGGAGCCAGCCCTGACAGTGCCTTTGTCAGCTGTGCCCTTTTAAGGTTTAAGATTTGAGGACAAGCACATGGATTAGAAGGAAAACCCCCAAGGGGATTCACTCCTGGTCCTTAGGAGTTGTGGAGGTGCAAGACAAATGCCTGCAGCCGCATGACTGGTGAATTAGTTTGGTGGTTCTATCAGCTGGGTGGGAGCTGATTCATCGGCCCCGGGAGCTCCCATGTCACAGGTGCCATGTGTCTGCTGTCTGGGATGTGGGGCA